TGAATGACTGTATCCTTGGAAATGAAGCAGTACTGCACTACAGGGTAGATCTAGTAAACATTATATTTGTATATTTAGGATTTCCAAAACCAATGTACTTCTACCTTTCATCTTAACCCTGTGTGTTAGGGCAGTTGCATGCTCTTCTGCTTTCTTCTTAAATCACATTGTTAAGCTGTGGATTTGTACTCAGTAATGACTTAGGATAAACATTTTTTCCATTCATTACTTTACATATTAGACATTTTCCTTTTTGTTGTAAGCAGGTTCAAATTAGATAGTCAATAAAACATCTTTAAATCTGAAAGCCAATTCTGTCTCACTAGTCTGAATGGCTTCACTCTTTCTTCCTCAGTATGAGAGAGTATAAAAAGAATTTATATGTGAAGGACAAGGCAGATGTTTATTTTTAATAGCCAGTAGTTCTGGAAACAGTGGTTCTACCAATTTAACCTTTCTTTAAAGCAGACACATGCAAGTGGTCCCCATTCATCTGGCTTCTAGTTCAAAGCTTATTAGTTACCTTTTGGGAGTTGGGGCCCATGTTCTCACAGGACCAATTATAATTAGGTTCCGTGTGAACACCACGACAGAAAACTCATGGGGAACCTAACCCACTTAACCATGGATGTAATCCATGTTGACATAATGTAGTTGACAAATGATGTGCAGCAGCCAGACTCACACATTGGGGTGTCTGTCTTGTGTCCCCCGTCCCTCTGTGTAGGATATATAAGAAAAAGATTCAGCTTGGTAGATGCGTGTAACAAATGCACAATTATAAAAACATAGTTATAACTGTTTTAAAAGTATATCATGTGAGTTGGGTTTTTTTATTAAAGTGAAAGCAAAAACTTGTATATTAATTTATTTTCAAAATCTTGACCTTATTTATGATATGCTAAAGTGGTGATTTATTCATTCAAAATATATATTTTTTCCACTTAAAACTAATTTATAAACTGTATGCTTGGGAAGCTTTGAAATCTATTAGAAGTTTGTTGAAATATTTTCACCATTTAAGACAGACTTCTGACTTAGATACTGATTTTAATGCCAGTGTCCGCCCTAAGTATTTATTATAAAAATGCATTATTTTTTTAAAGAGCTTGATGCAATTTATGGATAGTACTCAACCTGAATCTGAACCCCAATCCCACCTTATGACAAATCCTTCTCAAACCTCTGGTTGTTGGTTAATTCACTGACTGAACACAAATGATGTGTGGTTTAGAAGTTACATTTTCAGCCTTATGACAGTTAAAACATGGTAAGCCTTAGTAGTAAATAATCTTTTCTAAAAGGTAGACTACTTCTCAAGAAATTGGCTTAGATGTGAGTATTGTAATACCAAATTCTAACTTATGAGCATTTTTCCCACTGTGTATGTGAGGCAAACCATGTATCTCTGAGTGCAGTTTGGCCTGGCCCTCAAAAGAAAAGTGTATCGCCCCACTTGCATAGGGTGCTGTAGTGTGAACAGATACCGTCACTCTCTTCTCCACAAACAGTGAGAGCTGTCTGGAGTGGCAGTTTGAGCAGATTCCCCGGCGTTCCCTCTGCTCCTTCCGTCGGGCGCTACAGTGAGTAAAGAACCACGTGGGCAGCCGGGGGTCAGATGAACTGTGCTCAGTAGCCAGCCTCCCCTCTAGGAAAGGAGCCCCGATGCAGCTGTTCTGGCACCTTCTCTCACAGGCACTCCAAACCATCAGGGCTTTTCTATAGGAACTCCTTCAGAATCAGCAAAAGCTGGGGTGACCCAGTCATCTTGATTTGCAAAAAAATTAAAAGAACAAAAAACTAGGTTGTCAGTTGCCCCTGTAGATGAGCAACACTCAGTCTATGAGTGAGTGAACTGGTTCTGAGAAATCTTTAGAACAAAGAAACTCAAGAACAAATTCGTTGGGAAAGTTAGAATGTCCTTTCTGACATTTCCATTCTAAAAATTGACATTATATGAAATAACATACGCAACAAAACTGCTTTGTCTTCTATTAAGAAATAGCTCCTAAAGGTAAAATATTCATGAAGCTTTTTTAAAAAGTGTAAACCCAGTGCTGTGTAGAAAGGGAGCATTGAGTTATCACTGAATTTAAATGTAGCATTTGTTGCCACCTGTACTTCCAGCCATCCACACGAGTGTTCTTCTTCTTCTTCTTCTTTTTTTTAAGTGAAGGCAGAGTTGAGCCATAGATGCCCTCTAGCCAGGAGGGACCCACGTGGGTTGCCGCACACATGGTGTTCTGAGGCGGCGATAGCACATGGGATGATGAAGTTTCCCTGTTTCTTTACCCCTATTTGTTTGGCTTTATCTGATGACAATATACAATGTTCTTAATAAAGTTTTGTTCTTTTTGAAATGTGTAGCTTATTTTTGTGAATGTGATTGATTAGATATGGGGAGGGGAGGGAGAGCTTAACGGACTGGAAGGGAAGGAAGGTATTGGAGGTATTCAGCGTCGTCGGTGGAAAAACTGCCGAAGGAGATTCCTTTTGCTTGGCCAGTGGTTCCCAAACGTGAGGGAACATCAGAATCACCCAGGGGGCTTATTGAACTAGGGCTTCTGGGGTAAGGTCTGATGGTTTGCATTCCTAACTACTCGGTGCTGATACCACTGGGACTGTATTTTGACAGCCCTGCTCTAGACAGACTTTAGAGGCCCGTGACTTGGTTCACAATTTAAAATCCCAGGAGATAAGATAAAAGTATGGGTTTTACATTCATTATATAGTAAGTTCCTTATGGGCAGAGGACAAGACCACACCTTCTGTTGTGACTCCTGCTCAGTAGTGCTGAGTGCTTTTGAATGAACAGACTCACTGTAGCTTGAACTCCTTTGGAGCACAGGCCTTCTCACCACACCTTGCATTTAGAGCAGAATAAGGGAATACTTGAAATTTGGGAATCTCTGGCAGTGATCACCAAACTTCTTTGATAAGCCTCAGGACATTTGTATACGGGCACATACCAACTGAATCAGAACTTTCTGTGATTTTTATCATTTAGACAAACTGAGAGATGTAGTCCTCTTGACTGGTGCTTCAGTTCTCCATTCCTGGAGGGGAGACTTACTTAGCTATATATACTATATATGTAATTCCAAGATATTGAAACAAAAGCCCAAAGCATGGATGCTAAACGCCATTACCCAATCTTTACGTGAGCTTTGTGTGATCTTCTCCTAAGTTCAGAATAAATAATGAAACAACTGATCTGAAATGACCATGATCTAATGATCTCCCTGGAGAGTTTATATTTTTAAAAGTTAAGGATTCAAAGATATGCTTTAAATATTATAAATTATATCTATATTCTATGCATATTTACATTAAAATCAGTAAGAAAGCCCTTGCCAGTTTGGCTCAGTGGATATAGTGTTTGCTTGCCAACTGAAGGGTCTCAGGTTTGATTCAGGTCAAGGACATGTACCTCGGTTGCAGCATTGATTCCCAGACCTGGTAGGGGAGCATATTGGAGGCAACTAATCAACGTGTCTCTCTCACATAGATATTTCTCTGTCTCTTCTCCTATTTCTCCCCCTTTCTTCCACTCTCTCTAAAAATCAATGGAAAAATATCCTTGGGTGAAGATTAACAAAAACAACAACAAAAAAAGTAAGAAAATATTCTCTAAAAAATGGATAGACCTGAAAAGATAAATGAAAGATTTCATATCAAGATAAGGTTTTATGTCCACGCTACAATTTTAATATTCTCTTTAGAGATGCTAAAGACCCTTCTGGTCGAAACCGGTTTCGTTCAGTGGTAGAGTGTTGGTCTGCGGACTGAAAGGTCCCAGGTTCGATTCTGGTCAAGGGCATGTACATTGGTTGTGGGCAAATCCCCAGTAGGGGGTGTGCAAGAGGCAGCTGGTCTATGTTTCTCTCTCATCGACGTTTCTAGCTCTCTTATCTCTCTCCCTTCCTCTCTGTAAAAAATCAATAAAATATATTTAAAAAAAAAAAAAAAAGGCCCTTCTGCCAAATAGGAGAGAAAGTAAAAAATACATAGTCTTCAATTTGCAACTAAGGTAAATAGCTCCCGGCCTAGGAGTTCCCACTTTCACTACTTCTTACTTTCCAGTCATGCAGTTGGAGAGGATGTTAGTTCTAAATCTAGTGTGAACAAGTGGGCTAAGGAATTTGAATTTATCTGCCATAGTTTAGGAATATTTGCAGAGCTTGTGCTATGTGCAAATATTCTAGGAGCAAGAAATTAGGTACTGAGATCACAGGCAGTTAGGGACAGTCAGAAACAGGAATCTACAGGACCACCAGCACTATTGGAGGAATGGCCCTCATATCTACCATGAGCCAAGTATTATGCCAGCTGCTGCAGCCTGTGGCTGGCAGTCTGAAGTTCAGAATGATGGCCCTCACCAACCCTCTTTGATGATACTAGTTAGTGTAATTTCACTTTACACGACTATAAGACTAACTTGTTATTAACCTTGGCCCCCAGTTTACCAAGCCCTAATGGAAGAAAAATAAGTTTTAAACTTGTAGTAATAGAGAGGCTTAGAAACAGATTATAGTTTAAAGTATCTACATTCTTTATTTACAAGTTTTTAAAAAGCAAACAAACAAAAACATGTTGAGCCCAGGCTGGTGGCTCAGTTGGCTGAACATTGTCCTGTGTACCAAAAGGTCAGTGGATTCCTGGTCGGGGTATAGACCCAGGTTGAGGTTTGATCCCTGGTTGGGACACTTATGGGAGGCAACCAATCGATGTTTCTCTCTCTCTCCCTTCCTCTCTAAAATTAATAAACATTATTTTTAAAAACTACCTACAAGGACCTTTCAAATGTTTTTGATTCTCAGAATCACCCTGAGAGATAAGCAGCTTTAGTTATTCATTCTAATGAGGTATTTTCTCCATAAACACAGAAGACTGCCAAGAAAAGTTTGCTTTTGGACCCTAGTTTTTAAAAAGCTGTTTTTCTAGTAAGTTTGCTTTCAGAAATTGTATTTAAACATTTTTTATTTTCAGAAGTCCATCCTTTACAAAGAAGATAAGAAATTTCTGAAGTCCACCTTTGAATTCTTTTTGGATTCACTCTGGCTAAGTAACATTTTTAGTTGAGAGAAGTGTTTCTTTGTTCTGTTTACAGTTTTTGAGGAGCAGGTGGGTGTCGACTGTCCAGATGTAGGTGTTCTGAAATGACACATAAAACTACACTTAGGAATACTGACAAAGGACAATTTAATAAGTGCTCTTCCTGCTTAGCCTAAATGACTGCTATGAGACACATTTTCCACTCTTGACTGTACCCAGCAGTCAATCCCAAAAACCTCATTAAACACGCTACAAGCAACATTTAGTTGATATATTGGGTGGTTCTGGAAGCTTCTACCTCACCTAAAAGAGAGGGCTAAAGGTAAAGTGTCATCAGCTATAAGTTCTCTTTAAGTCTGACATCAAGACTCATGACACAGCTAAGCAATGACTTTGAAGGATCTCAACCTACACAGAGAGGTACCATTCCGTTGTGTCTTCCCCAGAATGGAAGCTCCTCGGGGCAGGAACTCTGTACTAATTGTAACAGTGCCAGGCACAGAGGAGGCTCTCTAAATATATCCACTTCATAAATGACTCCCCACCTGGTACGTGTATATTCACACCTTGTTCAATTTTATTCTTTCCAATTGTGTTTTATCCCGAACCTTTATTGGGGGTTTGTCAGCCTGAACCCTCTTTTGCCTCCCCATCTATAAGATAAATGTGACAAATATTTTTCTCAGTCCTGGATGTCTAAGAAGCAGTCTGGTCTAAATGCAAGTGAATTCTCTTAAATATACCAAATTTTCTTTTTATTTATTTTTATCCAATAAAGTGGAAACTCCATGATGAATTCTTATACCAAATAACAAAACAAACCAAGAATAGAGAGAAAACTGGCCTTGAAAGTTTAATACTTATCTAAAAAATCCAACATTAAAAAAACTCAATTCAGAAAGCAGAGAGAATCCAGTCCTTCCTGAAGTTGGTTAGAACGTGCCCAAAGTTAACTCAGTATCGTTTGACAAATCCTTGTTTAGTTACATCTCCACAGGAATTTATTAGAGGAAATAGCAAGAACAAAGGTTTAGAGTAGGAAAGTAAATGGTGAGTTGTTCAGTTTTGCTGACACACAAGATGCATTAAGGCAAAGTAACACAGGCAGACAGATTGTGCCATAGTGAGGGCTGGAGAGCTTGCTGTATGGTCCAAATGGCCCGGAGGAGGTGCTTCTAATCAGAGCTGTGCTTCAGGAGATTAGAGTAGAAAGGTTAAACAGGAAGAATAAAGACCTGAACAGATAGCGGCAGTAGGGATGTAAACACCATGAAAATAGGACCATAGAAACTGGCAGCTGACTGGACAAGGCCCAAGGCAATGGCTGTCAACTGAACTCGCCATTTCAGAAGGTCTAGAAGAGCATGTTTATTCACAGAATAAGGACCTTAAGGAGGATGGGCAGGTTTGAGTAGTCAGCCGTGGGAACCTGTAGGGGGTGAAGTAGATATATTTAGCGTGCAGCTGGGAACGGAGAGATTGCAAGTAGAGGGATATACCTGGAAATCATGCAGAGGTGAGAATGAAAGCTATGGGAGGATATGAGACTAGAGAAGAAAAGGGTCTGGAGGAAAATAGAGGGGCAAGGCCTGGACTGTATGGCAAATTTGGGCACTGAACGTAACAGGAAATTAGAAGAAATACTCAGGAGTTCCTGCAATTTAAATAACTTAGTGAGTTAATTACCTGAAAGTCCATGTTGGGCTCTTGCCTTTGGAACCGGACAGCCTGAGCTTTAGGTTTGCAGAGCCCAGGGACCTTCTCTCGGGAGTCTTCAGGCTGAGCTGCCTCGCAGGCGTGGCAGGACTGCTCCTCAGGGCTGACAGGAAGCTTCTACTCTTACCAGGATGTTTAACTGTTTTGTTGCATGTTTTACAAGTAACCAACTACCATAAAACGAAGAAATACACGGCGTGATTTCTCATAAAATTTAGTCCAATAAAATTTAGTTCCTTAAATTCTTATATGCATCAGACAGGTACTGCAGGGTGAGTTACAGAGGCTGACCTCAGGGAGCCTGTAATCTTGCAGCAAGAATCAGACCAAACACAAATTTAAAATGAGAAAATCTCCAATAACAAATTAATGACTAAACTTGTGTATTTAGTTTAAAACACCTTTTAAAGGTAACAAAGTCTCTATTTCCTCAATGTAAAACCATGTTTGGGGGGAATGGAGGAGATTGGGAATAATACCCTTTAACACCTGGATGGTTTAATGTATCTTCTGCTACTCGTCTCTATTAATAAACCACAAGTAATTTGATTTTGGTTGTTTTATTCCTTTTATATCCCCAATACTTAGCATTATATAAGATAGACTCTCAATAAAGGTTTAATGAATGAACATAAGATGTAGTTACTTTTGTTGGGCATAAACATAAATACATACTCTGACAAGGAAGAAGGGATGACTGAAAAAGTGACACATGCCTGACAAATAAGCTACTGTTATTTGAAGAAAAGGACCATTAACTGAAAAAAATAATTTAGTGGTAGCTGCAGTTCAGATGAAGTCACATTGGTCTGCTCAAGAAATCCTTCAATTTGTAAAAATAACTGTGCCCAACAATGAGATCTGAGAACAATTGAGAGTTTGTGATATATGATTTTAAGTAATTGTAAAAAACAAACAAAAAAAGCTGTACTCTTACTGAAACAGTAATCACTAGAAAAGAAATATGTATATATTTTGACAATTGAAATATACTACTATAAATCTCTGAGCTATGTTTAGTTGATTCTCTTATCCTCATTTTGAGAGAAAGTCTACAAACTGAAATCTTACCAGTACACTTTTGGAGTCTTGGTACTTTTTCACAATTTTTGCTTCTTTAAAGCTGAGTGTACAATTTCTTGCTTCTCGATTAAGAAGTTTCTGTATTCTTGGTGTCAGTTTGGACTTGGGTTTGAGGCGTACTCGAGAATTATCCAGAATAAGCAACTGGAAACAGTATGGACATGTTCCTTCAAAAGTGCTTTTAGCATCTAAAGTTATACAAATGGAACCCATGATTCAATAAGTTAGAATACTTTTTTTTTAAATCTCAAATTGCCAATTTTATAAATGAAAAAAAGAAAGGCATGTTATTTAATATAAGCAGATATACATGGTCCTTAAGCAAACTCAAAATATGAGAATTAATTAAAAGATAAACTGGAGATGATTTATTTTGCAAAACACTATCACTGTATCCATTCATTCCTTTTAGCAACGGACAGGAATTCCCCACTATTGCTCCTTACTTGTACTAAGTAAAAAAGACTGCATGTCTCACCTATTTTTCAAACATATTGATTACAAAATATGAAAGTTTACTATGACTCTTAAAAATAATTTTGTAGCTTGTGGGCTAGGCTTTGTCTGCAGGTAGCTCTCTCAGTATAAAGTAAAACAGACATGCCCAGACCTTTTATGCAATCAAGAAAACATTCCCTGCCCTAACCAGTTTGGCTCAGTGGATAGAGCATCAGCCTGCCAACTGAAGGGTCCCAGTTTCAATTCTGGTCAATCTCCAGTAGGGGATGTGCAGGAGGCAGCTGATCCATGTTTCTGACTATCCCTCTCCCTTCTCTGTAAAAGTCAATAAAATATGTTTAAAAAAAGGGGGGGGGGGCTCTTGGGCACAGTTTTCAAAGACCCATAAAAAAGTGGGGGAGCAGGTCAGAGAGATGATGCCACCGGTGATGTAGGGCTTTGTCGTCCCTTTACGAGATTTTCACTTTTACTCTGAGATGGGAAGTGACCTGAGAGCTTGTAGCAGAGAAGTGACATGGCCTGGTTTAAGCTTTTACTGGGCTCCGTTTGGCTGCTGGATTGAGAGTGCCTGCGCAGTAACCTGGGAGAAAGACTGGTGGCGGGCCCAGGGGGTTAGATGGCTGGAGTACGGGTATATTACAAACCCGGCAGGATTTGCTGGCACATTGGTTTGGGAGCCCAGAATGGCTGATTAGAAAGAGGAGTTATTATTCGCTGAACTGGGAAGACTTGTGTTGGGGGATAAAGCTTGGGTTTTGGCCTAACAGACATTCAAAAGTTGCCAGAAGGCCTGGGGATGTGTCTAGAGCTCAGGGGAGAGGCCTGGGTGGGGTGGGGGTGGGGATAGACATTTGTTAAGTGCTCAGTACACAGAATTTAAAAGTTGACATTGTGGGGATTGGGGGAACCAGGAGGACTGGCTGAAGAGGTAGGAGAACGATGTGAAGTCAAGTGAGGAAGCTGTTTGGAGAGGCTGATCAACGTGTCAAACCCCGCTAATGGGACAGGCCAGCCAAGGCACATGGAGCCTGGGGGTGGGGGCGTGCGGGCAGTGGGGGGGTCAGCTTTCTCTCGTCCATCATTCTGAGTACTGTGCGGAGCGGAGGGGCGAGCCTGGCCCACCCCCGACGGGCGTTCTCCCTACCTTGTGACGAACTGAAGGCCCAGCTGAAAGAGAGAGAGAGGCCGTGAGGAACGCGGGCACACCACCCGTCGCGCTCCGGCCCCCGCTCCCGCCCCGGCCCCCGCGTCCCGGCCTTACAGGAGATAGCGGGCCTGGCCCGGGCAGCGAGCCTGCAGTTTGCGCGCCGCAGCCTCGAGGTAGTGCTTCTGCCTCATCGCCACCGCCGTCCCGCCGCGACACCGGGAGACTCCGGAAGTTGGACTCCCGGCGTGGCGGACTTTGACGTCGGGATCCACGCTCCGTCCGGAAACGGGCGCCCTTGAAGAGGCGTTCCGGTCTCTGGCTCGGTCCCGCGTGGTCCAGCTCCCCGGCCCCGCCCCTTTCCCGGCCCCGCCCCTCCCAGCTCCGCCCCCGCTTGGCCCCGCCCCTGTCCCGCGCAGTCCGGCTCTCTCCTCGGCCCCGCCCCTGTCCCCGGCCCCTCCCCGCCCCACATCGGGGCGCCGCCACTTCCGCCTGGCCCCGCCCCTGTCCCGTGCGGGGGGGCCCGACGAGGGTTCTCCGCAGACCGGGGCCTGGGCGGAGCCGCCCAACCCGGCAGTGGTAGCGACGTGAGGAGCAGAGTCCCCCGGGTTCCTGGGTCTCTCCCTCCGACTCTGTCCTTTCTGATAGCCCAGCTGTCATCTCCTCAGCCCTCGTCGCCCTCTGATTCGCGAGCCCGGGTGTTGGCTCTGGCCGAGGCGGGCGGATGCGGGGACGCGAGGGGACCAGCAGACACCTACACCAAAAAGCTTACCTGTTTTTTGTTTGTTTGTTTGTTTTGTTTTTAAATAAATGACTTTTAAGAAAATATTTTATTGATTTTGTGCAGAGAGGAAAGGAGAAGGATAGAGAGCTAGAAACATCGATGAGAGAGAGTCATCAAACAGCTGCCTCTTGCACACCCCCTACTGGGCTTATGCCTGCAACCAAGGTACATGCCCTTGACCGGAATCGAACCCAGGGCCCTTCAGTCCCCAAGCCAACGCTCTATCCATTGAGCCAAACCGGTCTCAGTGAGCTGACCTGTTTTGTTTTCTTTTTCTGCTTTTAATTGAAGTGAAGCTCACCCAACCTAAAGTTAACCGTTGTAAGGTGAACATTTGGTGGCGTTTAGGACATTTACAATGTTTTGCAAATGTCACTGTTATCTGTGCGGAAACTTTTCTATCGCCCTAAAGGAAACCCCATCCCCATTAAGCAGCGGCTCCCATTTCCCCCTCTTTCCCGGCCCCTAGCAACCACGAGTTGGCTTTTGTCTCTATGGGTTTACCTACTGTGTACATTTCACATCTAGGAGTCATTCTTGTGATCTTTTGTATCTGGGCTCTTTTACTTAGTGTAATATCCCTGAGGTTCTTCAGCTTGTAGCATAGATTAGAACTTCGCTCCTTTTTATGGCTGAGTAATATTACATTGTACACATCACGTGTTGTTTATCCATTCATTTGTTGATGAACATTTGCTTGTTTCTACCTATTGGCTATCTTGAATAGTGCTGCTATGAACACAAACGTGTACTTCTTTTCATTTGGACACATACCTAGGAGTGAAATTGCTAGGTCATGGTAAGTCCATGTTTAACAAGAGTGGTTCCCACCCTAGCTGTTTTGGCTCAGTGGATAGAGCATGGCCTGCAGACTGAACGGTTCTGTGTTCCATTCCAGTCAAGGGTACATGCGGAGGTTGCTGGCTCGATTCCTGGTAGGGGCTGTGCAGGCGGCAGCCAATCAATGATTCTCTCTCATCATTGATGTTTCTCTCTCTCTCCCTCCCTCTCTTCCTCTCTGAAATCAATAAAAAAAATATTTTTAAAAGTGGTTCCCAATTTCTCCATATTCTCACCAACATTCATTATATACATAAGCTTGATTTCAGAGAGAAGAAGGGAAAGAGAGAGATAGAGAGAAACATCCATTGGCTGCCTCCCTCACACCCCCTACTGGAAATCATCTGGCAACCCGGCATGTACCCTGACTAGGAATAGAACCAGTGACCTCCTGGTACATGGGGCAAAGCTGAGCCACACAGGCCAGGGTTTTTTTTTTTTTGTTTTTGTTCTTTAATTCCAGCGGTATTGATTTTGGCCCAGAAAGACCTTGACAGGACTTCTGACCTCCAGAACTGAAAGACAGTAAATCTGTGTTGCTTTAAGTCACTCAGTTCATGGTAATTTGTTATGGTGGTAATAGAAAACTAATACAGCACATATTTGGAGGTTCTTTCTTTCTGTGGATTTGTCCCTGGATTACCCCCCACCCACTTATCCACCCAATTTTTCAATTCTAGTGGCCTCAAACTCTCTCTCTTCCCGTCAAGCCAGCGAGGCCGTGGTTCTCTGCAGTTAGAGCTGCTCATGGATTGGGGCTGCCCTCAGCTGAGGAGCCTCGAAGTCACAAATCTCATAAATGTCCAGTCACCTTTCAAGGGCGGCCCTCCAGTTGTCTGCCTTCTTTTGGTAAATCTCCAAGGCCTTCAAATAATTTTTAAAATATTCTTTCAGGCTTTAAAAATATATAGTTTTATTGATTTCAGAGAGAAAAGGAGGAGGGGGGAGAGAGAGAGAGAGAGAAGGAGAAAGAGAAACATCAGATAAGAGAGAATCACTGACCAGCTGTCTCTTTCATGCCTCCCACCAGGGATTGAGCCTACAACTTGGGCATGAGCCGTTGACTGGAATCGAACCCAGGACCCTTCAGTCCCAGAGGCCAATGCTCTGTCCACTGAACCAGACCAGCTAGGGCTTGATCAGATTTTTAAATTATTATCCAAAGGAAGGTTAGTCCACCATTTCCAAAAGCTAGAAACTCATTCTACTCTTCTGCCTACTCAGATATTTGCAATTTTCCACCATCATTTTAAACAGAAGAACGAGGGGGACAATGGTTGTATGCATGCTTAATTTTTCTCATTTACCCAGAGGCTGAAAATGAGTTTCCTTCTCTTGACATGACACTTTAAAAATAAAATGAATAAAAAGGAAAGTTGTCAAAAACGTTTGATGTGGGGGGCGGGGCAGAAACCACCACCCTCGCTGCTAGGAAGGAAGGAAGCCTTAGTTACAGGTTTGCTCCACCACATGCAGTTCCCGAAAGTCACCAGCAGGGGGGAGCGTTCTGTCTCCGATGGTCCCGGCGCATCGCTGCGAATTCATTAACCCAGCAAAGCAGGCGAGAGCAGCGCCGGGTGCATCTCGGTGGGAGGAAGGTGGGAACTGGCTTAGAGGGGTCACTCGGACCGCAAAGGCCCCGCGAGACAGAGTCCACCTATTCCCAGAAGCCGCCCGTCTCGAGGCGCCGGGAAACTTGGCTGGAACTCCCGGCTGACCTCTCCGCCCCGCACTCAGGACGGCGGCGGCAGCAGCAGCAGCAGTTCCGAGCCGCCTCCGAAGCGGCGCAGGCTGGAGGGGCAGACCCTCGTCCGGTTCCAGGTGGTGAGCCCGTGCCCGGGTCCGAGCGGGATCCAGGGGAGCGTGCGCCCCGAGTCCAAGTCCGCGAGGGACCAGGTGAGCCCGCGTCCGGGTCCGCAGTGGAGCCAGGTGAGCCCGCGTCCAGCCGCTCCAGCATCTCGGTCGGAGCCGGGTCGCAGGACTCGAGCAGTCGGTGGGCAAAATGGGTTGAAGCCGAGCACGAAGGCAGCTGGTGGGGGATGCAGGGCACGGGCCTGGGCACAGCTGTGCGGTCCAGGACTGGGGGGCAGGAGGTCGGAAAGGACCGTTCCTTTCCCTCCTCCCCCCCAGTGCGTCCACAGGATGACCCTCCACCATAATCCCCCCTGAGGAGGTGCTGGGTGCGGAGGGGCGGGCGGGTGGCTATTTTACTGGTGCTGAACGCGAGCCACTCTCTCGCGGACCTTGGCTGCACCGTTATTTGGAAGCAGCGGCGGAGCCTGGTCTGCGCCCCTGAGCGTGTGAATGAGTGACTGCGTGGGCAAATGACAAGCGACAGACGGGAGGAAATACCAGCACTCCGGGGGGATATTTTAAGATGGGAAGTCAGTGGCTACTGAAGCAGTGAGAGAGAGAGACTGGAGAAGGAAAGCAAGAACAGAGAGAGAAGAAGAAAAGATGCAGGAAGTCTGAAAAGGAAGCCGAGTGGACACAGAACCCCGTGGACCCCAGAGCTTGGTGGGGGCGCGCAGGTCAGGGGCAGGCGCTGTCCGGGTTGACATATCAAAAGAGAGGGGAAGAGGGAGGGGGAGAGGAAGCTGGTGGAGGAGCCTTACCCTGAACAGGTCATTGGAATTGAGGATCTTTTTGGTTAAGAATCCACGGGTTATGGCTGGAATGTTGTTATCAGGGTAGGAATAAAAACGTATGCCACGGACAGGCAACAAGTTTTCTTTTGGCAAATGACCAAGTGAGACACAAACATTTAACTGGATTAGGAGAGAAGTTGTAAGGAGTTTGTGATTCTTCTATACCCTCATGATCACTCACAGAAGATCTCTAGAAAAGCATTTATTGTTCATAATTAGACTTTGAAATTGGAAGTGTCGCAAAACGGCACAATGATTACCCTGTCCTAATAATACTGTATATAGTAGCATCAGTAGTATGTCCATTACACAGGGGTGGGCAAAAGGGGAGGAGCCTGAAACCGAGGTGGGTGTCCTTGACCAGAACTGAACCAGAGACCCTTTGGTCCACAGGCCCACGCTCTATCCATTGAGCTAAACTGGCTAGGGTCCTATTCTTGTGTTTTAAAACTTGCCTTTTTACTTGGTATGTTAGCATTTTGGAATGGGGAGGAAAAGGCAGGCTACATGTCCGTGAATCAGACATGGCAATAAAGCCTCAGTTATTGGAGAGGGATCCTTCACTGAATGGGAAATAAGAAGCCGAGGGGGAAGATGTGGTGACTCCATTGGCACTGTATGTACCATTTCTTCCTAAATGGCGGGGGGTTCAGAACAGGCAGTCAAGCTTAGTTTTGGCTGAAATTAAAGTATTATTTTCAGGAAGTGTTTATATGGAAATGTTAAGTAGCCTCTTAATGCCTTCTCATAAGGCCCCGGAACTGACTGACTCCTAGCATCTTAGAAACTAAGTACTTGTCACTTTTACCTTAAATCTTGCTTTAGTATATGCTATATGGCTCTAATAGAACTTACCAAATTAATCAGGATATGTGCTATTAGTTATATATTTTAAAAATATATTTTATTGATGATTTACAGA